TTTCAGTAATGAAAATATTTTTATGAATCATGTCTATGAATTAGCGTTATGGTGTAAACCCCCTCTCGGTGTTCCCAGCATGGCATTTAGCATGTTATAGCAAATTGACAAGGCTGTATTTCTAACCCGCTCTAAGAGGGAAACTTTCGGCTTGTTTGCTACGTCGGATCAACTAATTATACAATTTAGTGCCTTTTCAGCTCCACGTCATTAGCATAATTGGTTATGGGTCAACCGAAAACTTTAAGAAATATGTAATTTGGCGGGGCGGGTAGAGAAGAATGTTTAGGAAGAGAATATATATATTTTCCACGCGCCAAGCGCTGAGATTTATTTACCTTCGGATATGTAATGCATACATCTACATATATACTGGTGCTGCGAACGTTTGGGTTTACTCACAGTTGTTAAATGGATTAGCCCGTGCCAATTAAACTGAATTGTGTAGATGTCTTTTCCACCGTAACTCCGAACCTGTCTTAGTACAGCAGACCTAGATGGATCGTGGCGTCGGAATGGAAATATCGAAATATTGGAATACACTACGCATTCAAACGCTTACTTGATACATTAAACCTATGTTATCCCGATATGTATCGTTGTGTGAGAATGAACAATTTGGTCGAGGTACTGAGATATTCGAAACATACCAGGTTTGAACTGGTTAGTCTTTTTCATAAAAAATCTGAAACTTTTCTTAGTCTTTGTACAGCAGAACAATGGTACCATAAGATTAATCAGAGTATAGGCAGTGAGCGGTTCGAGTTAACGGAATATTAACGAACTTTTTAATTTCTTGTCGAACTATAGACACAAGTCTCACATGTCTTGGAGAGTGGGATGAAAATATCGAGATTATAAAAATATTCGAGAAATATGAATTCAATATTTTAGGGATTTTTTTATTTTCTCAAGAATAAAACAAAAATTGGAAACTCTTTTGGTTCGACTGCATTTCATAAGCTTTTTTTATCTTGCGAATAAATATTAAGCGCCATAAAACAAAAACAAATTAAAAGATACCAGTAGAGTCTGTAACAATGGGAGAGATACGATATATCGTTTCATTATTTGTTGACTGTAATGATGGGGACATTCCGGAAATACATTTCGATAAAACTGTTTAAGATATCACACAGTTTCAGCGTGAATAGTGACGGTTTACCGATCTCTCTGTCTGCTGTTTGTTCCACGTATCTACTGGACGCGACTTTGGGGGGATTGTTGAATATTCTGGAGAAGTGTTTACCAGCCATACATGCATCGCTTTACGATCGTGTCGATTCAGAACTCTGGACATTCTAATTTATATTGAATTTGATTTTTTTTTCTCTCTGTTTTTTTTTTTTTTTTAGCAACAACTACGTAACCGTGAGTTATATTCCTCGTACTTTTGACGTCGTGTGTTTATTTATTTCTGTGTGCCTAGAACGACCTGAATGTGGGGGGAAGGGGGTGAAATTTCGTTAAAACTTTATTGAGAAATTGACAGTTAGAAGTTTGTCTTCCTCCAGCTATCATTTGAACACCTTACCACCGTTTGGCATTTTTTTTCTCCAACAACGGTATCGCTTAAACGGCAACACCTTCCCTACTCCACTCTCAGCAAAAGTGAAAATAACACAAAACTGCATACAAACGTGTTTCGCCTCAACTGAACATCACTTCAGATTGGCTACCTTCTTTTTCTTGCCAATATTATCAAATCTTCAAACATCAACATCAAGCAAGCATTGATAGGCTTGTACACGTGTTGATGAATGCCGTCGACATACTGGCTTTGATCGAGCAAATACGTTAAATTGACGACAGAGGCAAACACTAACCACATGTATGTTTCTAACAGGGCTCCGTTGATTGTTTCTAATTTGGTTTAATATTGCGTGTTACCACGCCATGCATGCCCTGTGCCCTGGGTCAGGCAGATGGCTACCATATTGAGTAATTTGAAAACATCCGCTGTGTCCCCCTACCTTCATCAAACTTCAGACACTCGCAGAGTACACATGCATGGTAATATAATATAATAAATGTGCGAGTTATGTATTTTTTCTGATACATACTGGCTTTATAATGAAAAAAATGTGTGATATTTTTTTACTGTACGAGCATCGCGCGTGCATTTACTAGTACTTAACTATAATGAGGCAGTGTCTGTATATGACGTCACATCCTGTTGTCCATGTTGCCAAATTATTTGAAAGTTCATTCATACTTGTGCACTTAATATCTTCTGTTAGGCTGACATTCGTTTAATTCAGAGAAGTGTACAATTTATAAAGCTGCATAGTTAATAACTTCATATTGTAAAGAGGGTCCCCTGCGTTCAGTGTCTCGCGAGACAACTGAAAGTGACCAGTTAAATTCGGATACGCTGCCCAACCAACGACCAGACCGTAACATATATATATAATGGTCATCAGTCATGTGTCACCATGCTCGAGAACTAATCAAATTAACATGTTATTGTCAATAGATTGATGGTAAAAGCTTGCTGTTAGAGACATATATTTACGACCTTTTTATTTGTATCATTTTTGAATGTTCAATGCCGAAATACGCGTATTTATCACGTTGAAATATCTTATCAAAATCGACCATCTCTAATTGAATTTGTACCCGTGGGTCAGAGCATTTTATTACCGAAAATTGCCAGAAATGTGGGAGACTAGTTGATATGGACGATAAAATATATGTAATTTGTGTCGCTCTCTAGATTTCACTGTGATAACCTATACTGAACTTTAGTTTTTTGATTGACTATAATTTACGAGAATAAATGATAGAAATCTCTTTTGATAAATTATTCCGATGGAAATGCCTTTTCAAAATTGTTCAGATTTATGTCAGTAAAATACACACGTTTAAATGCAATTTTATTTTATAAGGTGTTTGTGCGTGTTTGTTCGCATACAAACAGCGCCATACATTACGCGGCCCGGCGTCGTCACCCCCGGCGAGGACATTTTCTCTCGGACGTACAAGGGTCAGTCGGTTTTTACGACATAAATGTTTTGGGCATTAGTTGAGACCCGCCAGTACATTTTCTGTTTGTAATCACACGTTTTTATGATAAGAAATAACTGTTACACAGCTGAATGACCGGCCGCAGGCCAGCAGTGTACGGAGTATACCTGTAAACGCTCTAGCCCAGATCATGATGATTGTGTATTACTTTTCGGCTATTTCTATACAAGTGTCACTTTATACAGGTATATCTAAACAAACTTGTTCGAATTATTTTATCTTCTTTGAAAGGAAAACCCAACGGCTGTTTATTTTTTTTCCTATTTCGATAAATAAAATATACCCAGGTTCAACAAAGATGGTGTTGCCAGGCCTCCCTGTCTCAGCTCGAGGCTTTCTGATACGGTTTGGTGCCCAGGAGTTATGTCCCTTGATCGGTCTGGCGAACGAAGACAATGATGGGTCTTTACCCTATCAAACATTCTCGGACAGAAAGCGAAGGTGGTCATACGTTCATTATAATACAATCCGCTAGGAATTTTTAACATTTATATGCGTCTTAAGTAAAGATATTTAAAGTATATTGGTCATTGCCGCCGTATAGTGTTAGCAGTTATTTCTGTATTAGTTTTGATACTATTCCGGTTCACCAGTCACTTTACCACAAACACGACTAGTATGTCTGGGACCATATTTAATATATATATATATATATATATATATATATTGTTTTTTTCATATAAAAAGAAATTCCACACAAATTCTGCTGCTATATCAGAACAGGCGGTCCAGTAATTTTGCCTTGATTTATATGTATATGGACGACTTGAGCGGTTTTACTTATTGTACCATTCAGCATGAAATGTTGTTTATTTAGTCCTCAATGCATATCTTTATATAAAATTGACACTTTTCTCAAGTTAAAGAATTTATCTCCATGAAAAACCTAAAACGTTAGAGATTTGCCTCCCGGCTTGCTACACATGACCAAATGTATACATGTACGAAACACATACGGCTGGTACTATCTCCTAAATCTGACGTGTTAGTCGGGGAGGTGGGTACAATCCATTACTTCAAGAATTATTCATTTTTGAAAAAAGGGGTCATTTGTGTTAATATTGTGTACAAGAGATCACCAGTCATTGACTGACACCTGTACCCTCACTATATATATGTACATAGAACTGGTGCACTTAATTCACACCTGGTACGTGCCAATTTCTAAGCTGTCTGAAATCGACAATGAAATCGACTTTGAAATCTACAGAAAATGATTGTGACATCAGTTCGAAGCCATCTTGAAGATATTCGTTGTGGTGTCAACATTCCATTGATCCAGATATGCATAAACATATTAGGAATGTTTTCTGACAGTCTCCTGTGTATTAGACAGGTATTTCCCTTAAATTTAAGGTCGGGCACTGGCAGAACTTAGTTTTGATTGGATAATTGGTCTATGTCTATCATTAACGGTGTTTTTGGTGATCGAGCCTGTATTTGAATGAAATGGTCCTTGTAAGTTGTATTGTGGTCATTGCAGTACCTGTTTCTTTTGCACTTGTTCATACTAGATGTATAGACACACCAGATCACAGAAGGAAAGCTGACCCATGTTTACCTACAAATGAAATACACTCAATACATACAAATTAAAACATTCCTTTAACTTAAAACACACAAGATAATTTAATTAGATATGTATTCAAATCGTGATACCTACTGCTTACGACATGCAAGTATCAAGCACGTTGTGACATGTTTATTTCAAGCTGTCTGATTTCGTGACCATATTACATTTACTTTTTTTCTCTTTTTAGTTAAGTAATTAAATTAGATTAAATTAAATTAAAGAACTGTGTGACATCATGATATATAGTAATCAAAACAACCATGATATGCAATGATTGGTAAAAGCATGCAATACACTTATCATAAGTACATTCATTTCGTACACTGTTTTTGTTTTTGGAATTTCAACCGTTGATAATTAAGGAATGTATCAGTAAATCTATACTTTTTGTATGTTGTAGGCTGTGTATAACTACGCCAAGGTATCGTGTAAATGTCACGGTGTTTCCGGTTCCTGTAGCCTGACCACGTGCTGGCAGCAGCTTCCCAGTTTCCGGGATGTCGGAAACCGTCTAAAGGACCGATACGACGGAAGTTGCGAAGTCCGCTTCAACAGAAGGGGAACAAAATTGAAGAGAAAAATTGCGAGATACAACAAACCAACAAAAGAAGATATAATATATTTAGACGAGTCGCCGGATTATTGTAACGCTAATCGTACTACCGGTAGTTTAGGCACGGTAGGTCGTGAGTGTAATAGGAACTCAGTGGGTATGGACGGATGTGACCTCATGTGTTGTGGGCGTGGCTACAACACATTCAAACGGAGACTCGTTGAAAGGTGTCACTGTAAGTTTTATTGGTGTTGCTATGTGAAGTGTAAGTCATGTGAACGGGAGATTGATGTACACACTTGTAAGTAAAAAAGCACTTCCGGATTAAAACCTTACCTCCTAACGAAGTTCTCTTTCGTGCTTTGCATATCAAGGATTTCGGAATCATGGTGTGTGTGATCCATATCAGAGGAACTCTTCGAACTCCTGGAAGCTGATTGGGTGATATGAAAAAAGAACTCTGTTCAATTCCCAGTGTCAACTAAAACCGGAAGTGGAACTGTATTTAGTTGCTTTTAGCCTCTGCAACAGAAAGTGGAGCTTTCTTTAGTTCCGTTTGTTTGCCTAAAATGGAACTGGGACAAGTGTAAGTTCTTTGTGGCGACCGATGACAAACATGGAATTCGCATAATTCTTTGTTGTGATTTAGGAAAGAGGTGGTTTGAAATGACTGGGAATGGAAGTGGCTTGAAGTAACCGGAAACGTGGGTTTGGACACGGAAGTGGATACAATATTGAAACCGTGCAATTGCTACGTGTCGTAAAGATAAATACAGCGGAAGTAATGTGCACTTTGAAAAGACACGTATATACATGTATTAACAAGTGCTGTACCACGTGACACTGGTGTAGATCTCTCAGGGGCTGCCGTACTCTGCAATATCGCGCATGCGCAATTACATCCACGTATTTCATGTTTGTATAACTTTATATATCACTCTGAGGTTTTGCTGTGGATTTTGATTCCGGTAATGCAAGGATGTTACACAATTCATCGGTGGTGTTTTCCTTCTAAGAATTGCGCATGCGCATGCATTCTCCACTGAAGACCTAATACAGGATGTATGTCTCAAGCATCATATGACGATGCGCATGCGTATTAAGTGTAAATATAAAAACTTACATCATTTGTAATTGCTGTGTTTTACACAACTTTACATTTCGTATCACCTGTATATATTGTTAATGTGTATAGGCACTTTGAATATATATTTATTACGCAATTTTCATTCAAGATGATATGGCAACAATTACTGTGAAATAAAATTATCTATATATTTGTTCATTTCGTAAAGGTCCTTTCATTAAGAACATAGTATAGCCGAAACCAACATGTGATAAGTTCAATAGTATATTTCTATTTTAGTTTGTCATTAAATGTTGTTACCATGGTACTTCTTTATTATGAGTTACTAAGTATCCTGGTTCCCATGATAGTGCTAAACATAGAATTGCCAGCTAAATGGCTGAGAACATTCTCGAGCTCCAAACATGGTATTGAATGACCTAATTTGAAAACTGATCCTTTATATGGTATACATATAAACTTTATTTATTTTACAATAATTATAAAACAAGTTATTTCAACTTATATTAATCACTCTTGTTGACCCGGATGTTAGCGCGTGCGGGGGTCTTAGTGTAGTCCGATCGGGGAATCGAACCCCGGCCGCCTTGGTGAAAGACAAGTGCGCTATCCACTGCACCACCCGACCATCATTCATTTGGTTATAAAGTAAATAAGGAATTCATACTGATGTTAATATTGAAGTTATATTTTATATGCTATAAGGATGTAACAATGTCGGTGAAGTTCCGGATGTAAGCATAGTTTCATTCATTGACAATCTTCCACGTCTTGGTCCTCTCATTTGATAAAAAAAAATGAGTATATCCAATGATGCAAACTACTGACGGAAAAAAAGATAGATACCTTATTTAATTGACAGCAATGTGTTGATTTTAGTAGGCCAGTTTTATTAGATCCGCAACGATATATCGATACGTATCGGTATTCCGATATTTGGTCGGTGATCACAGTGATATCTGTGTAGCATTTACGGTATCTGTGCGTTCTTATAATAAGAACGGGGATAGCATTTATCTATTAAAATATAGCAATATTGATCAAACAATAACAGCCTTGCCTGTTCTCAGAAGAAAATGTTGATTGTAGAACAGAAAAATACTTCATTAATATTTTCCATGTTTGACGGGTTAAAACAGATCGTACGTTAGATGTCCCCCTGCACTGATGGATCGTTTACCTAAGTAACGTGAATATTAAAATATCGTTTCCTTATAGGCTGTGTTGATATACTATAAATCACATTTTCATAAACTTATTTGTCGAAGTCATTATGGAAAATAACACTCAATCCAGGATCGATAACATTAAAACCAGCCCTATAATTTCGTCAACAAGTGCAATTTTATAATTCCTTTTTGACAGATATTTTGATGGATTACTTTCCTCATGCATCAAGAATTCTAAACATATAATTGATGTCGTACGGTTAATTCATGGTTTGCTGGACAGCCCTTATTGATAGTTTAACTTCACACTTAATAATTGAAATGAAGGGTCGATTTCTTGTGTCATTGAGTGTATTTTTTAATATTTATATGTGCGTATCGTTCCGAGTCTTTCATGTTTTTTATGTTCACACCTACTGTCGACATACTATTCCGTTATATTTCACGGTGTTGTAGATATCATTTCTACGGTGGGCCATTACGGCAGCATCGAACGCGACTTGTCGTGTGTTCGCCCTAATCGGCCTCTGTACATCTCGGCTGTTTAGCATTGTTTAAGACTGTGTAGATACATTTTCAGAGTTTTATACTTTTTGAGGATGTAAGACAGTGGTATGAAAACTGTATAATTTATTCGATAATACTGTATTTGACTTTTAAAGATTTATAAACAAAATATTATATGAAAATACTGCAAATAGTTTGGTCTTATTTTGTTCATTATTGTACCTGAAATTATTATTAATAAAAAATGTATCGAATTGTTCGGGCAAAATTCACAGGATATATTTAAATCTGATAGTTTACGTAACTATACATTTTGTTATTAAAAACTGTACCATTATTTACCAGAATATCCGAATCAAATGTGGATTTTTTTATTGTTTCAGAATTTCTTTTTCTTTTAATCAGAAAATGTTGTGTTTTAATTAGACATGGTTATCCAGCACTATGTTCCGTATACCCTACATAAGTTGATACAATAATGATATTTAATGACTACGTCAATGATGTTCTGATAACGGACGAACATGAACAAGAACATGCTGATTTAGTTTAACGTGTTATACCGTTCAGAGTCTCTTTATGCAGGGTATTTCTATTCAAAAGGGGAATAAATGTTTTTTTTCATTACATATATACTTGTTTGCGTTATATTTCCAATATCATAAACATTTACAGGCTTGATACAGAAAAACAACAACATAAGTTCAACTTTTCAAAATTTATTAATAATTCACCAGAAATAAAACAGACTCTGTATACATAGATATTTTACAATAAACATATCCACGATTTTTCAAAATTATTTACATGATGTCTTAGTATTAAGATATTTTTATGAAGATGTATTATATATGAAAGAACATAATAGGAGTTAATACATGTTGCCGCGCACTATGGACGGCGAACCTGAAAACAAGATATCAGTTATATTGAAAATGTAATTGAAGTACATATAATAGAAAACAAAGCCGCCGTTTCGCAAAGGCAAATTCAAATTTTCTTTTAGCGTGGCCGAGTTCATGCACAGTCGATGTAAGGTAGAAGGGAGGTAACTGGCAAATCTACCTCTTTTACATAAAAGATCTTCTAAATTGTTTAAAGTAACTTGAAAGACATCATTCTCACACTGACTACGAAATAAAATAAAAAATCAAATGAATGTCCCCCGTTTATGAAGATACCCCCTGTTTCTTTGTTTCATTGTATCGTGTGTCATATACTGATTTACTTTAATGATCGTGAAATTATTATTTTAACAAGCTCGAAACAATGACCATTCTGACCAATAAAATATATTTGAATCAGCAAAGCGTGTGTACCACAGATAAACTGAAATTATTTTCGTTTCAAACATTTGACAACCATCTATTTGTTTACCACTTAATGTAGGGTCACGTGATATGCTCTTTGTTGACAAACATGTTGTCTTGGTGGTCTGATTACCTAGTCAATGTTGACTAGCATTCAGCGTCGTATAAATAACAACAGTTTTAAAATGGCTGGTTTAGAAGAATGAAGAGGCATTAGCTCAGCGTAGAATTATTCCTTTCACTTTGAAAGACAGTTATAGTCAACATTAAAAGTTTGATAATACCTAGACTAGCTTCAGGCCCAAGTTTTTATAAAAAAAAAAATCGACTGCATTTTACATGTACATGTACTTCTAGCTTAGTTTAGAACTTAGGGTCTGATCAAATCTGGAAAAGCACTCCCTAGAATCAGACATCCAAGTGATCAAAATTATCAGAGTTAATTTTTTCTTAATATTAATTTCAATTTTCTACAAATACCGTAAAACTGTGTCATCATTATTCTGAATAACTGTATGGCCTGAAATATACAATCTGAATACCCGAATAGACCAAATTAATCAGGATAAAATAATAGACTGAATTCCGTGTATTATTTTATGCGTTCATGTTGGAGCAATAAATATTGGAGTATATGGTTTAATTGGAGGTTTAGCGATTATACGTGTCAATCGACCATACAATATGACACAGCATTAATACTTGCCCTGTTTTACCTGTGACATTAGGACAGAACCCCCTTCGGTAATTACCTTCCAGGTGTTCCCGGCACACCTGTGCTACAATACAACGAGTGACAAAATACAGCTGATTTATTTCGTTATGATCAATCAGACGATGAAATAACGAGTCTATGTATATCTCATTCAGCCCCCATCCTCATACATCACAATGTGGGTGCGTTATCGTACCTAATAAAACAACTTCTTGATCAAAACACATTTTTTTCTTTTTCTGCTTTTACTTCATAATTATGAAGTCCATTTTTTTTTAGTTTTACGACAAAATAATAAGGCTTTTATGAAAGACGATATATACACCGACACATAAACTTCAGTATAGCCGTTTACATAGGAGTTACACTGCATGAAACTATCAAAGCCATTTATTTCTATTGTCCGCCTGTTAAATGTGATTTCAAGTTTTTTCATGAAATAATCACACACTGCAATTCAGGAAAATGTGTTACATTCCTGACACTTTTAATACAAATGCCGTCTCATAATGTCAAAATTGGAGAAATCAGCTATTAAAACATGTAACCTATACGATATACGATACACACATATATAATACTGAAATATATAAAATGCACAGATAATATACAATGTATATAGAAAAAACTCATGTAATATTTGAAAAAGTACAATAATGAGAGTTAGTTCATATCTTAAACCTTCTGAGGAACACACACTACCGTATCTGGCACGTTATATTTTATTAATTGAATAAACAAAATAAATAAACATAAACATAAGCCACTCTAAAGAGCTTGACAGTACATAGATATACAATTATATACAGTCAATACAATTAGCATATATATCAATCAAAACAATACAATTTATTTACTAAGATAAAGAAGAGATTTGGCCGGGACCGGAGAAATACTTCGAGATAAACGGTGTCTTCGAGTTAAAAGAGTTCGAGATAACGAGGTTCGAATGTATTGAGGAATTCGCAGGAGCTGCCTTATCAGGCGCTAACTACTAGTATTATGCCACCTGGCTAATAGCTCCCTATGTGTGTGTGCTGGAGATATCTTGTGTAGAAACGCAAGTGACAAAGGAATACAATTTTATAACTTCTGGTCTGTCCGCATCCTCGATATCAGGGGGGTTACACTCACTTTCGTTCTCTGCACCCCTGGAATATGTCATAGCTAAATTGAAGGCTCAGTGTGTACCACCTTGTTGATGGGAAAAGAAGACTATTTCGATCCTTTAATGTACATAAAAAGAATCTCGCGGTCGCATAACGGTACAAAATGACAGGCTTTGAAGTCGACTGTCGCTCCTTTGTAATCTTCAAAGGACAGTTATCAGCCTAGCGATTGGTCAGTGGTCTTTTTTACATGAGACCAATCAAACAGCTATTTTCGTGCCTTCAATTTTGCTATGACATATTCCATGGGTGCAGAGAGCGAAAGTGAGCGTCACCCCTGGATGTCGAGGATGCCCTGCCCGGGGCCTCGAAATCACGACATACACACCAATCGCCAAAGCCTAGAAATACTTGCAGCTGTGATCTAGTCGGATGGAGCGTCATCATGATCAGTTCAAGCCACGGAGAGTTTTCATCTGAGGGGGCCCCCGTCCACTGCTCAAGGAGTTTCCACAGTCCAGGAAGCCACAATGGATATATATACTTCGGATATGATATTGTGTATGGTATCTACCTTGCCCTTTACACTACACTCCTTTGTTCGTACAATGTATATTGTACTCGTGATCGTTCATACTTTAAATTATTCGAATTGCAACCATGTCTATGACCTACTTGGGTTATGAATAGAACTAGTTACCAATAT